ATGTCTGTTTAGTGGCATCGAATTCCTCAGTTTTTTATATATCTTATGATGAAGCAGAAAATGTTATTTCTAGTTACAACAGTTTTACCGCATAACAATCATTAGGATGAAGATGCATGGCTTTCCTTACTGCAACTCCAGGGAGACATCCATGAACACATAGGGTTGAGAGGAGGAGTTTATTCAAAAGAACAATGTCCAATTTAATTTCAAATCATAACAGTTGTACAAAATTCTTAGCAGAAATACAGAAAACAAAACAAAACAAAACAAAACCAAACAAAAGTTCAGATGACCACAGCAATTCAACTCAACATCTCAACATCACAAGAAAACTGCTGCAAGAATTGCTGCTACCCCATTGGATACTGCTACCATTCCATGGTGTTTCAGCCCCATTGCAGCAGATGCATCCGGGGTACTGCCGGTGTCCGATGACCCTGAAGGGGCATCAGCACCTTTGACACTTTTTTTGGGTGCAGATGGCGCAGGAGCCGGTGCTGCTGGGCCAAAAATGTTCAAAGGAAGGAGCACCTGGTCCACCTCATACACAGCTAGCTGATTGTCAGTAAATATGGTATTAGCCACAGTTGCATTGACAACCCCTGTTGTTATGTTCACTTGGTTCCCTGCTGTGGTCACATTTAATGGGAACTGGCCATCATTGCTATTTCCAGCTTGTGTATGCAAAGGGTTGGAGACAGTTTGAAACTGTGAGACCGAATAGAAATTCGGCAGGACGTGAAATTGCATAAGCGCCAGCTTTTGCTGTTCTGAAATGGAGTTTAGCGTGCCAGATTTGAGGCTGGAAAAGGCATTATCAGTTGGTGCAAAGAGGGTGATGCCCTGGTTTGAGGTGCTGAGCTGTGTGTCGATTTGGTCAGCCATCCTGGTGCTTTTAAGTAGCTTAATCAAGGTGGTGAATTGACCAGCCTTCTCAAGAACAGCAGTCACATTGGTTGCTGATGGTGCAGGAGCTGCTGCTGGAGACTGAGCAGAAACTGTGGCTGCGTGGAGGAAGATGATCAAAGTGAAGAATGTAAAGAAAGATAAGACTGCCATCCTTTTTTTCTTTTTTGGGGGAGATTTTTATGTTTTTGGCTTGGTGGGTTTTGATCAGAAAGAGAAGAAGGCGGAGGAGATGGGCTAAGGTTGGAGAGGAGTGAGGGTATATATTGTGTGGGTGTGACTAAAAGAGAATGGGAAGTTAGGTGAAAGGGAGTCATTTTAAGGTAGCAAGACAATGTCATCTGAAGCCAATGTGCATCTTTTTCTTGGTAAGTAAGAGGACCAGTGAAGGAGAGATTGAGTTTTGCTTAGTGGGGCAGGAAAAAATAGCTGGATATGTGATTGAAGGGAGTGGGGTACAATAAGTGAGAATGATGAAGGTTTTTTGCTTCCTGTTTGGTGCAACTTCAAAAGAGAAAGCTTGAAGTTCAAGTTTTCATAATAAGCAGTTAGGATGGGACCAGTTTCTGCAATTCTTTGATTCTTGGTGACCCTTGAAATCGATATAAGATTCAAAGGGAAGGGGAAGTGTCACTGCCATGAACAATTCCATGATAACAGTAAATTTTCTGACTACCAGCATAATCTGATCTAAGCATTTGTCTTGGCTCAAATAACATGTGAGACAAATTAATTAACAACTAAACAAGGGTTAAGTCTAGAATTTGAAACTCCAACTATGAAATGACCTCTTTGAGGTACATGCATGTAAATGAAGGATTAGATGATATTAAACTCTCATTAACAGACAATAAGCATCTATATTCACCTTAATTACTAATTACTGATATCATAATCATTTTTAGCATGGCCCTTGGAAATTTAAGTATCCTCTTTAAGCAAACTGAAGAAAAACAGATCAGCAGGCAATCATTTTCAACCATTTCCTCTGATGTGTTACACCCTTTCAATATCAAGATTAGATCCAATAACCACCAATGGGTCCTCTATTAATTCTATAATCAAGAACTTTTTCAACTATGTTTGTTGCGTATTTTACTAATGTTATATTATGATATCAAAGCGGGCTTGAGATCCAAATTTGGTCAAGTTTTGGAGCAAATTGGGCTGGTCTATATTCCAAGTGGACCCTAGTTGTAAATCTCTTTTGTTAAGCTTGTTGATACTTTTCAAACTTGGCCCAGACAGATTCATGTTGAACTTTTTTCGAAAGCAGGCTAGCTCTTTATGTACTTGCAAAACCCAAGGGGCCATCCTTGCATTCACAATGGATGCAAAATTTGCAAATTGCAATGCAACAATTCTCCCTTCTCTTCTAAAAATAATTCCAGTATTTCCCAAACCTTTTCTGAAATTCTAATTACCAAATACAATAATGCAAGATTCAACAAAATTTTCCTAGGAGTTACCAAATGTTGTAGCAAGTGACATGGTTATTTTTCTTGTTAGAACTGATTGAAGTTCAACTTAAAATGAACAAATAAAACATTATCACGATTCAAAAAAGATAATCAGTACATATAAGTAACTAATTTATTAAAAGTGAATAAGATTGATAATACGTATACGTCAACTGAAATCTAAACACTTATTTTATTTTGGTATTTCTAGCATTAGTCTTTCTTATATAGATTCCATAATGATATGAAGCCTACATTGGGTACCACAGAAGAATATATCACAGAATATCTAAAAGACACAATTTTGATTGCAGTCTGCAGACCCAATTTTGTTTTTTGTTTTTTTTTAATTAGGAAAGTCTCAAAGTGAACAAATTCCCAGTTGAAATCAAATCTGCTCCTGTTATTGTCATTTGCTGGTTCATAGCTTCGCTTCTCTTCACTATCTGAAGTTTCAGTGGAAAGAAAATAAGTAAAAAAAAGATCTTTGATCCCAACCGTTCACTGCGTTGACTGGCAGCACAACGTCAAATCTCCAACCGTTAAAAATTTACCATCAAACACTTTCCTCACAACGTTCCCATAAGCCGCAAACCAGACAGTCCGTTTGATCCCATTGAAGACCCACAACAGAAAGACAGAGCACAATAACACGAACAGAGCAAAAACCCACCTTTCTATATCAATTTCGAACTCAAAAGAAGAAGAAAGGAGAAGCATTTTAAACCCTAGGGGTCATGATCGTATGCTCCAAGGTCTATTGTAATCGCCACCATGATCAATACTTCCAACGGTATGATGTCAACGACTTCGTCGAGCAACGCTCAGTCACCGGGTCTCAAGACCTATTTCAAGACCCCAGAGGGAAGGTACAAGCTTCACTACGAGAAAACCCACCCTTCGGGTCTCCTTCACTACGCTCATGGCAAAACCGTCACTCAGGTACTCAATTTCTGCTATTAATTTCCTTCATTATCCATTTCGGGACTTCACTGTGTCGTAGCCATTTTTGGGTATTTTTGTGAAGATGTTTTTTGTTATTTATAGCTTTCTGTTTTTGTTAGGGTTTTTCTCAATGGTTATAACCCGTATGATAGAAGAATTGAAAATTGGATTTTTATTGTCTGGGTTTTGTTCTGAGTGTTTGATTTTCTAACTGAAGTGTTAAAAGAAATGTTAATGCTGGAAATATGAGGTGTTTCAAGACCCAGTATTTGAAACCATTTATCCCTTTTTCTACTTTGTCTTGAAATGTAATTTCTTAGTGCAGTTTTGGATGATTATAAGTGAACTTATGGAATATTCAGGTCCATCTACTGGGGTACCTGTATGATAGTACTTTTTTTGTATGGTTAATTTACTCTACAGGCCTTTAAAAAAAAATATTGATATCTGAATTAAGAGCCTTGTGGGTCGTTGGTTATCAGGTGACATTAGCACATCTTAAAGACAAGCCTGCTCCATCAACCCCGACTGCACCATCTTCAAGCTTCAGCACTGGCAGTGGTGTACGTTCGGCTGCAGCAAGGTTGTTGGGTGGTGGTAATGGGAGCCGGGCACTTAGCTTTGTTGGAGGGAATGGAGGGAGTAAGAGTGTCAGTGCGAGTAGTAGAGTTGGGTCTTTGGTGGCTTCCAGTTCAAGTAGTTCGACTTCTACTTCAAATTTTGATGGGAAAGGGACTTTCTTGATCTTCAATGTGGGGGATGCAATCTTCATTAGTGATTTGAATTCTCAAGACAAGGTATTTTTGAAGTTCCATTTGTTGGTTTAGGCGCTGAGATTGGTTTATGATACGTTTCTTGTTGCATGTAGGATCCGGTAAAGTCTATACATTTCAGTAATTCAAACCCTGTGTGCCACGCATTTGATCAAGATGCGAAGGATGGTCATGATTTGATTATTGGGTTGAATTCTGGCGACGGTACAAATGTTTGTTTGAATTTGAAATCGCAATCTTGTTTTTGAAGTTCAATGTTTTGAATTGTTGTATGTGTACTTTTGTAGTCTACTCAGTGTCACTCAGACAGCAATTGCAGGATGTTGGAAAGAAGCTTGTCGGTGCTCAGCATTATAACAAAGATGGCTCTGTTAGTAGCAGGCAAGATTAACTCTCTATCTCTTTTTTCTTTTTTTCCACTTGTTTGTAATTTATGTACTTCAAAAGGGTTCTTTATCTCAAAGATGATTCTCTGTGTGACATTAGAGGTAGATTAGAAGTTGTTCTGTATAAAAGGTTCACCCAGTCATGGTTCTGTCCGTATGTCAAAAGCTTAGTATAAGTTGATGCAGTATGTGTTGATATATTTAACTTTTTTAGTTCGCTTCTGTGGAGGCTAGAATGTTTCTTAACCGCCGAAAAAGTAATAAAGAACACTAGAAGTGGCTGTGAATGTTAGTCTTGTTCTGGATTAGTAGGCTTCAAATTGGCCAGTATAGTTTCCTCTCTATTATATGGCTGCAAGTTGATGGGTAAATGTCTTGTTTCATCATTCTTGAAAGGGCTAATTCGTTTTTCCTTCACTTCAGCGATGATCAGAAGTTTATTGTGTATTCTGGATCTTCTGGTTTCCAGAACCTTATGTTTCTTTAGATGTTTGACCAGTGCCCTTTTGATGCCTTATTGTACACTTTGGACCTTTGGTTTATAAACTGCTACGTGGGAGCTAACTGAACTGTTGCTACACCCGTTCCTGTGAGCAAACAGAAAACTTAGTCCCTGTAACTTGACTATTTTGCAATTGTCAATACTTGATTTTTAGCTTGTGTTTGTCATTTCCTCAATGGGCATCATTCGAGAGCCTTCTGTCTGTTTTGACTTTTTTTGTACAATTCTGTGGGGTACTTTGATTAATACTTGTTTTCCACAGCCGTTGTACCAGTATTGCATGGGTTCCTGGTGGTGATGGTGCTTTTGTTGTTGCTCACGCTGATGGGAATCTATATGTATATGAAAAGGCAAGCCCCTTTTATCTTAAAAACACTTTTCGCTGGCTTAAATTTTGTATTCCATGATTGCATACTAAGTAATTGAGTGTATTTTATGTATCTTTGTTTTTTTCTAGAGCAAAGATGGGGCAGGCGATTCTTCATTCCCTGTTATCAAAGATCAAGCTCAATTTTCTGTTGCACATGCACGTTACAGTAAGGTATTGAGTTATGTTTATTTCCTTTTCTAACTTTGTTTCCCTTGTAGCTATTTTCTTTCTGAAAGTGGTTCATCAAGTTTGTCTATAAATTAGGTAAGGGGTACATGCTGCTGCTATGTCACTATGGTGAATTTAGTTGGCACTTTTGACAGTGAATAAGACACTATGCTGTTATTCTGATACTCAGTTTGTATCCTATTTTAGATGTAAGTCTTTTTAGGTGCTGTGTTTGGGTAATTTTCTGAAGTGTAGATTCCTAGTCTAATACAGGGATTATTTCTGACTTGTGACTTGTGAGACTCAATCTTCAATCCGCTAGTCTGTTTTACCAACAATATTCTCATTTGTTAAGTTGTCTGAACCGTCTATTAGTTTATTTAAGTTATCATTATGTCTTTGAAGAAGCCCGTTCCCCCTTGTGCAATGTCGAGCAGCGAAGCATCAGTTGTCCTTTGAATATCCTTTATTTCTTCAAGGCATCTTTACGGATCTGGCCTCTAGTAAATCCTTATATATTTGTTGAGGTAATCTGGTTGAGGTCTTACAGGTTTATGTGCGCTATACTGGAATGTCACTGTGGTTAATTAGCTGAATACTGAATTTGCATCAACCAAATGACTATGATAAATGTCAGATAATTAGAAGGGAGATATGTGCATCTGACAACCTGAATTTCAATTTCTGGTTCCTTCTCCACCTACAATTTTATGTTGACTTCCTATTTTGCTTGTGCAGAGTAACCCAATTGCCAGATGGCATATCTGCCATGGTTCAATTAATAGTATTGCTTTCTCAACTGATGGGGCCTTTTTAGCAACTGTTGGAAGAGATGGTATAATGTCACTATAGTATTGTTTGGATTGTGTAGTTGCTCTCTTTTTCTGTTGGTTTTATCGTTTGTAAATTATATGATGCAAATTTAATTACCGAATGCAGGTTATCTACGCGTTTTTGACTACTCAAAAGAGCAACTTATATGTGGCGGCAAAAGTTACTACGGTGCTCTCTTGTGTTGTGCTTGGAGGTGTGCATCTTTATTGGTTTTTCATTGAAGCTTGCTGCTGGTGTTTGTAATATATATATTATTATACTTCTGAGATGATAGTATGATTGATTACAAAATGCTGCTAAACAGCATGGATGGAAAATACATACTGACAGGAGGTGAAGATGATTTAGTTCAAGTTTGGAGCATGGAAGATCGGAAAGTTGTAGCATGGGGAGAGGGCCACAACTCTTGGGTAGTTTTCTTAAATAGCATCGTGGTTGCTATAATTACTTGATTGTGGCTGTTTTACTAAGTTCTTACTGGATGATGTTGGCAGGTCAGTGGAGTGGCTTTTGATTCATATTGGTCATCACCAAATTCAGATGGTATGGGGGAGACTGTCATGTACCGGTTTGGTTCCGTCGGTCAGGTATCAGAAAAATATTGGTCTTGTCTTCAATTTTTGGGTTTTTATAATCAGATATCTCATGTATAAAAATGCCATAATTCCATTGTAATTTCCTTCTCTAAATTTTTATTGTTTCTTGGCTCTCGTCTTACCAAAATTCTGCTTTTATTTATTCATTACATATATTTGACATTTGAAGTTTTCAATAGAAAGTTTAATATGAGCTATTACTGGTGAACCTACAAAGGTATGCTAAGATTTACAATCAACGTAAAAAATTATAGTGATTTGAAATGAGTGCATTTGAGAGAAGTTATGAACTTATCTCAGTATTCTTCCTTTACCCTTTCTGTAGTTTACTTAAAAGGATTATGAAAAGAAAATATTTGAGTAATTAGCCAACAACTGAGATGATCAGTCCTGTAATGCAGACCAATCGCCACAGCAGAGATATATGGTGCAAGTTTTATTTAGAAAGGAAAACGGTTTGAGTTGAAAATGAAGTATTTGATAATTCATTGTTAGTTCTGACCCATGGTCCACCACACATGGGTAAGGACAGAGAGAGTAAAGTTAACTTGTAGGTTGTCTTTTGCTCCCTTTTACTTTTACAATTGCGGATATTTTTTGCAGGTGGATAAAAACATAGTAGTTAAAAATGTATATATAGATTGGAGATAGGGAAAGGAAATGAGACAGCGAAAGTTTTGAAAATACTAGTTATTTAATTGGAAAATAGTTTCCAAGTTCAAAACCATATGATATTTCTTTGTTTCATTATACTTATCCATTTGAGTGCAGGACACCCAGTTGCTTCTGTGGGACCTGGAAATGGATGAGATTGTGGTGCCATTGCGGCGATGCCCTCCTGGTGGCTCCCCAACTTACAGTGCTGGAAGCCAGTCATCTCATTGGGACAATGCACTTCCAGTGGGTACTCTTCAGCCTGCTCCAATCATGCGAGATGTTCCAAAAATCTCACCACTGGTTGCTCACCGTGTACACACTGAACCCCTCTCTGGCTTGATGTTTACTCAAGAATCCGTTCTCACTGTCTGCCGAGAAGGGCATATAAAAGTTTGGATGAGACCCGGGGTTTCAGAAAGCCAAACAAACAACTCTGAAACCATGTTAAGCACCAGTTTGAAGGAGAAGCCTTTATCCTCAGGCAAGGTTGGTAGTTCCAGTTACAAGCAATGACCAGACTCTCATCAATTCAAGACACAAATGCAAAACAAGCTTCGACATTTTTTTTTCGACATTTTTTCCCCATTGGGTTACAGTTCCATTTGCCTGTGTAGCCAATTTTCTTTTGTCATCCAGTTGGTTTTTCCAGAAATAGCACTTTGTAAGCGTAATCTGACCGGCATTGCCATGCAACCAACTGATTCTATTGTATAGACAAAAATGTCATTGAAGGCAGTAAGAGGCTGGGAGGGAGAAAAACCCCCATTTGTAAGTACAAAACGGCTTTTGCTAGAATATATTTACTGACCTACAGGAATGATATGATGTTGCTCCCTTGAGATCTGTTTCGTCCCAGCAGTGCGGTTGAGTGGTAATTTATTTTACAGCCCTTAATGCATTCTTACCCTTTCTATGAACCATTTGTTGGATTAGTTTTAATTTTTTTTACAAATTTATAAATAAACCCAATCCTAGACATGTATTTATAAAAAAACCCAAGCACTATATAAATATAGAAACACACCCAAAATCAACTCCAAAGTCAACTTTTTGGGTGTGTTTATAAATGAGTTTTGAGTGTGTAATGATGAGTTTTGGGTGTGTTTATAAAGTGTTTTGGGTGCTTAGTTTTTTTATAATTTCAACCTCCATTTTGGGTATTTTAGTGAAACTCCCTTGACCTAAGAAAAAAGGATTATCCGGAAGGAAGACCTAAAATCCGAACAATTTTGATCATTAGACCATATTGAAGGATCAAGGATGAGTCGAACAATCTGGCTCTCAAGTTGAGTCCTCAATAGAACACTACATATACGCATGCATACAAGGAAGCCAAAAGCTTCACCACGGGTTGTCATTTGAACTTTTTTAAAGCCAAGCTATACATGCGAAATAGTTTATATACAACTACTCTTAACATGTTCTATATTTATTTACAGCCCCTCCTAGTATGCAACTATGGTTTTAATGCATGTTAAAGTACAGAAGTCAGCTGCCATGAATAGCTTCTGCAACTTGAGTTTCATTTTCAAGCTGTTGAGGATTCGTTTGCGCTTCTTGTGCATTCTCTGGTGATTGATTCGGCTGCGTCACCCCCCGAGAACCACGCTGTCGATTGGACTGAAAAAGCCATCTTTCTCTCCATCTAAAAGCCTCAACAATAATAGAATTTCCACACATTGTAACTCCAAACCCCATAAAAGTGGCAAGGAGAACAGACAGAACTGCATGCATGTGAAGCTGGAGACCCAACAAGAACATATAAGATACTGTTATGGATACGAAGGTGAACACCAATATTCAACACTTAAAGCCTCATCACAGATTTAGTGGATTTTCACTTGACAATAAGATTATTGATCAGCAGTTGCTCGTTCTAAGCATTTTGTAACCCGAAACAGAGGAAAACTTTTTCACCAAGGAGAATCATCACATTTTCATGAATGGAGTAGCAGAGCAGTTACTTCACAAATCCTATCACTACTTGAGTAGCTGAGAAACTCTTACCAATGAATAGAGTACATGTGCTGAGAGAACCACCAGTGTAAACTGAGTAGTTGCATAAACCCAGACAAATTTTCTTCTCACTGTGGACGAATTTCTAAGTCAGTATAGTAGAAAGACATTGAATTCTTTTTTTTTTCTCTTTTTTTTCTTCTTAGTCGCAAGAAAATCAATGAATTCATGAATTTGAAAATATTTCTAGATAAGTAATTTCAAGCGTAGCCTACCCATTGTGGTTGATGTCATGGATGCCAAAAGACCCAATATGCAGGAAAAAGGAAGAGAGAGAGCAATTGCACCCGATCCCATTTTGCCCACCTGTCCATTTGATTTACTTAGAAACTGAAAGGCTAAGAAAGAAAAAGAACATAGAATTTGCATGACTTACCAGAAGCTGCTCAAGAAAACAGAAGTAAGCAAGCATGCTGACTATGACAAGGATGGGAACATCCTGCCAAACCCTGGAAATTTTTGCATTAATTATTAATTATCCCATCCTAGAAGGTGGTGTTGAACATATTAAATAATAAGACCATACACAACAGACATAGTGAGCACAGAAATTTCCCTTTCCTGTGCATTATAACAGTTAAAATATCACTTGCCTATATTGAGTAACCTCAGTCTGCTGTGCTCTACGTGCTCGAGAATTAAGGGTCTGAACATTTTGAATTCGTAAAAGTGTGACGGGTAGGTTCTGAACCTCTTGCTTGCATACATCACATGTTTTATTACCTTTAATGCTGAACCATTTGACAGCACATTCTTGGTGGGCAAGAGCAAGGTCACCTTTACAACTGCACTCCATCTTGAGGGTTTCAGCACCTTCACCTAGTTCAACTAAGCAAATTCGACAAACAGCTTCTTCTACAGCAATATCTTCACCGCCATCATCACTTCCATCTGAACCGCAAGACTAAGATAAGGCATAGGTTGGTTATCACAAGTTAAGGTAGCTAGAATCTGAAAATACAGACAACTGGTACTCCCACAGGGATAGGAGAGGTTTTTTTGTGGATGTGGAAAAAGACAATTAAAACGCAAAATTTACCAGTGTCAGTTACTGGGGATGTGCTTGAAGTTGTCGTGACAGCCCTCTCAGGCATTTGTGGTGTGGTGGGAATTACACGAATGACACCACTTAAATATATACTTCCATCTTTATTAATCACAGGGACTGATTGTGAACGATGAATGGGTAGTTGGGCCTCTCCTTTCTGCAAAGTCAGGAATTGAAACAAAAAATAATGGTACAAATACTCAATACTAATAAAATTGAACTGCAAGCAAAAAATAGACATATTATTAGACTCAGATGAAAGATCAAAGAGAAGCACCTCATGTAGATAATTTAAAAAGTGACAAACTTTTGGATCATAACATGAAAGAGCAGGACAACTCACTGTGGAACTCAAATTGATAGAGGAAATAATAGGAACATAGCTTTTGCTTTAAAAAAAAAATACATGGTGCACCAACAGAAAACTGGGCTGCTAAAACTAATCTATCCTCCATTGTGATGAACTCCCCTCTCATTTATTCTCCAAGAAGTTGTAAAGAACCAAGGAGAAAAGGTTATCTTTTTGGTCCAAGAAGTAATATGTTCGGTAGAATCAGTACAGGAAATTAACAGGGAAAGTCCAAGAACCCTTCACAAGGAGGGTGGGTGCACTGCCACCAGTACATGTGACATTGAGGAAATCATCTAGATTTAAACTTATCTTGGAATTTTGCTAATGCTCTGTAGAGCGCTACTAGCAAGTAGAATTGCCAAAATAAGCAAAACTTTACACAGATATACGATAAATCTAAAGCAATTTCCTCTCCATTGTAGATAATATAATCAGTTAAATGATCCTTAAATAAAATCGAACACTACACAGTAAGTTTAAAGGACCCCCAGATCGTATCTGAGATTTTCTTTATTATATAAACATGCAATATGGTCAACTTAAATTCTTCTCGATGCATTAATTATTCTCAAGCTAACAAGTGATAGACACTCACAACAGAACCGAGCACATCAATTGTGTTCCCTCCATGCATAGACTCTGGATTTGAGTGAGCAATTGGAGTTACAGGCAAGGATGATGCATTTTTCATTCTAGGAGTCAAAAGCTTTGTAAAGGACCATGTCCTTGAAATTAAAGGCTTCTCACGTGTCCCTGCAGGTAAGCCTCCCAGGGCTAGAGTGGCAGCCTTCTGAATCTCTGAAGTAGTGTTCCGATGTTTGAAACTTAGTTTTGGAAGGAGGCTTTTTATGGTTGATTTAGCTTTTGATGATGAGGGCCCTGGGGACCCACTGATTTTGGCTAAACTAGGGCTGGGTAATGGGGAGAAGTTTACTCTTTTGGGAGTGAGACTCGGCGTTGGGGGCATGTTTATTCTCACAAAATCTTCTTTGGCATCCTCAAGACTTCTTGAAGGTATCTGTAAGATGAGGTTCTGTCGTCTCCATGGTTGACCAGGAGGAGCTTCTTCAATTATCTCAGCGGCGTCTCCACCCTGCAAAAGAAGAGCAAAAGAAAATCATCCAGGATCAGCAAAAATACGCAATTTACATTCACATTATCTTTTCCAGATCATGCCAGTTATACAACAATCTCAGACAAGCACATCTATGATGAACGGAAAAATAAGAAATGAATATTGAAGAACTAGCTCAAGTCAATTTCACTTCACTTGCATAGGTATGGCAGATTGGGGACAAAGCCAGCATAAAGGAAAGACCAAAGGGGATACATATTGAAGCAGATTTATGAAAGAACATAATCATGTGATTTGTCCTTTGTTCAGAGCAACATGAAAATACATAATTTTAAGCCAAAATCAGCAGTAAGCTCTTTTGTCAAAAAAATAAAATAAAAAAAAATTATAAATATAAAAAAAAAACAAAACAAAAAAAAAAAACAGAAGAAATACAGAATGAAAACAATAGCAGTATAAATCCTGACTAGTTCTAAAAGGAATTGGAAGCTTCTAACTTGAATTTCATATTAATACAAATATCAACTGAAGATTGATATTATGGTTGTTGACAGATTATGGAGCCCTAAATCAATTGATATCTTTCAGCACTTTGTCTTGGCTGTGCACTAAAACCAACAATTGCATAGCTGAATATGAGTATGACATATCAACTATAGTTCACCCAGTTAATTATTAAAAAAAACTTCGAGTTTGAGTTTTTAAACACAAACATAGAGATAATCACAAACATTATATGGCAACATGAATTGATTCCACAAGTAATGAAATTTATGAGCAGGAAATAAACATATCAGAACAACCCATCATAGATTTTTCAACAAGGAAGCGAAAATGAGGTACCTTTTGGATTGAAGGGCCAGCTTTGTTGGTGGAAATGCCACCATCATTTTCTTTAGCAACGGTTTCTTCTCCAGTTGCCATAGCTCGGTCCCAGCAAAGGCCGCTTAATTTTCTTCACGTAAATGAATTCTGAGAAAGCTCTGCTCTTGGTCCTGCAAAAACCACCAAAACCCACCAGGGAGACAGTGCAGAGGAGCTGAAAAGGCAGAGAGATATATGGACAAGTGGCAGATGAGAGAGAGAAGAGTGAAGGAGAAGGAGGCAGCTCACAGTCAGACTCATGGAGCTCTCTCAAGGCTCAAGAAAAGCAAAGCAAATGCCAAAACGGATTTGTGTTTCTTTCAATTCAAAGGGCCCCACAGATTTTGCAACAGGGGATCGGAAAGATGGTTCGGCTGCATCGGCGACAGAGTATAAAAGCTTAAAAGGGTTTTAGCTTTTTAGCACGTGTTGGGGCTTTGCAGTTTGCGGTGACAAACAAATATAACCTATTTTTAGCATAATAAAGAAAATAATGTCTCCGGGTTATGTTATCAGACGATCAATTTTGAAGTGGTTTTTAACAGGAACGTTACAAAATTTGAAAACTAAACTTAGGAATTCCCTTTTTACTTGATTCAAATAACTGAAATCTCCTTGTTTAGCTTGAAAGGATTCCAATGTAGTTTAGAATCAAAATCCTTTCAAATCAGTTAGATAAACTTCTACTTAACCACTAAGCATTTAAATATAGATATAGAACTCTTTTAGTTTAGTTTGGTTAGGGAATTTCATTTTAGAAACTCAACAATTGTCGTTTATCAGATTTACTCAAAACTTTCTTTAACAAAGTGAAAATTGAATGACACTGATGACATCTATATCATTTCCTGATTGTCACATCTCACAATATGACAAAAGTTCTTATCTTATATTTTTTTTAATAAATAATTTAATAGAATTTCAAGATAGCGTTGTTCGGAGGAAGAAAAAAGGGTGGTAATTGAAAAACAATGTGCAGCCGCCGAGGTTTGAACTCTCAGGTGTTTTCACTCAAATGTTCCAAAAACATCTTGAAGCTGGGCAGCAATCTTAGACAATAATCACGTTGGATATTCTAAAATTAGCAAGGGCGGTATTGTGATCAGATCATAAAAAATTAATGTTGAAATGAATGAGTTAAAATGTCACATTCATAAGGTTTTTTTTTGCTTGGCATACACGTTTCCTCTTTCTCGTATGTATATTATTGAGATTGCCTTCATTCTTTCATAACCTGTCCCAAGAAAAACAAAAACGAAAAACAAAATGATTTTTCAGGAAACTGCCGGCCAACGTCTTTGAGATCATTCCATATATATATATATATATATATAACTTGGAAAAATAGTTTTTGTTTAGTAATGACTATTAGCAAACCAATCCAGCATTTGAATAAGGGTTTAGGGAATAATAATTTAGTCTCAGAAAATTCACTTATAGGTAGGCATTGGGGTAATGTACATTAGAAAGAATGAAGAAGCAGATAAGCCTTTTGTAGTCTAAATATTCCAAAAAAATAGCATATGTAGGTTAGGCGAGTTGGATAGGGTAGTGAGTCTATTCCCTTCATCCAAGTTCGAATCATTTTCCCTTATATTAGAATAATTTAGAGTAATTTAGATTATCACATCATGTATCCAAGAAAAATAAATACCAAAATATCATTCATAAGATTTGAGCCCGAAACCTAATCAAACAAAAGAAATGACTAATTAATCATTAGACCAAAAGGTCAGTATCGTAGGGTAGCCTTTTAAAGACACAATTTGTTCACGAAAATGCTGCCACATATTCTTCCACTGAATTATGTATACGGTAGTGATGCAAAAAGCAAGAAGCTGAGCCTTTATCTCTTTATGCCAATAGTTCAACCTTATTAATCATAGTCATTGTAATTATTGGGATTATAATACTCCAAGTATCATCAACTATATATATATATTATATAGAAAATAAAGTTGAAAGCTCAGTTGCTACAGGATTAGATATTCTTTATTTTATGTCGTGTGGAAGTCAACGAACAAAAAAAAAGATTCTTTGAAATAATGGCTGTGGTTTATCTTAGAATGTTTTAATGTGGCACTATGGCCACAACATCAGAGTCGTTCAATTTAGGGGTTCTTAGATTTAGGTCCAAAACGATTATCTGGTATTGGATTTAGTCCATGCATTTTTAGTTTTAGATGTAAGTCCTTTGACTTTATTTACTTTTTTTGTTGTGTCGATTTTACCCTTTGAGGTAAATAAGAAAAACATATTGAAAATCTAAATTTAATGCATAATTTCCTTGTAATTGAATTTTGAATTCTTTCCTTGATAATATTTACCTAATATATACCATTTAATCAATAAAAGTAAGACCTACATATTATACCTATGAGATGGACAATAGGACAATATATCTATACCATGGGATAATATATCTACATCATAGGCTGAACAAACCACAAAACATCTTACCTATAAGTAAGGTGGAAAAATAAACAAGCAGAATGTTAAATTACCTATAACTTAGGTTCATAAAAACATAAGTCGAACAGTCTATGCTACCTATATCTCTGGTACATAAAAAGATAAGTGATAAATCGTATGTTACCTATAACTTAGAATCATAAACAAAAAGGCAAAAATGTGTGGTACCTATATCTCATGTATGTAAAAACACAAGTCAATTAATGAAGAAGAAAAAGTCGATACTATGACTGCATAGCAAATGGATATTAGACCATGCTTTAGCAATCATTTGTGCCTTGGGATGAACCCCAACTCTGAATCTCAATTATTTTCTCATCTATTTTAACGAGTGTTTGTTCCTTTGAGCACTAAACTCACTCCATTATTTCTTTCTTATGTCAAGTACAACATTTAAATATTAAAAAAAAGAAAAAAAAAAAGAAAAAAGAAATCTTCCTAATTAGGTGCTTTACTTACCATAAATTTAGTAATTTATTATCAAACCACCATAAAAATTTGTTGCAGTTAATAACTTCATTATTTCTTACGTTTTATGTGCTAAAGGGTAAATTGGATAAGGAAAGAAATATAATATTGGCTAATTATCTCATTAAGGTAAGTAATCTAAGATAATGGGCAATATTGGAACAAAAAATGATTTTAAAAATATAAAAATCAAAAGATTACATCATACAATATTTAAAAAAGAATGTAATCCTATTTGGCACAAAAGTCAAAAGACTGATATCAAAGTTATCAAATCCGAATATTAAACCCAACTCCTAAATGAGAATTTGGATCTATATCAACTTTTCTATTCAATTTATTTATAAGAATGTATTGAAAGCTTATTTTCCACCTTTCTTCTTTTGTCCAAAAGATCATAATTTTGTTGCTAGTGCTGGCCATGCCTTGACAAGGACGTCAATCTTATAGCAAATTTGGTTTAGCCTAATACATCTTTTCATAGCCAATGGGGTCTAGTTCAGTGGAAAATGGTCTTAATTTGTATACAGTGATCTCATATTCGAACCCCATGACACTTTGGCAGTATATATCGATCTCAAATGAAAAGCACCAAATCTTAATGCATGTCAACAACTAAGCTACTTAGTGACCACCACAACTCAGAAATAGCACTTTCAGAAGTGAACTGGAGAACCTTTGTCAATCTCAAAGTATATTTGTAAATTGTGAGTGCAAGAACAATGAAAATCGACGGTACACGTAGTCTTGGCTTGGGTTGATTTGGGTCCCGCCCACTTCGTGAGTGCCAAATGGGTATTGCTAGCTAGGGCTTAGCTAAGCTTTAATTATGCATAGAGCCCACACATGAAAAAGGCAAAGCCAAGATTTAGCTTCACCTTTCAGCTTCTTACCTCTGAAAATCAGTCAGAGTTTGGCATTAATACAAAACAAAAGGACACCAGATTAAACGTGACTATGTCTAGATAAGGAATAGCATACTCGTCATGTGAATTAAAACCCCAACAAGATTTCAGTTTTCTGTTGATGTGCTTGAGATCCTTGTGTGAAAGAAACTTGTATTTTCTTGCCTGCATATACATTAGCCAGGAAGAAAAGCAGATTGGAAAATGAAACTAAAAGGTTATCAGATTAAATTTTGTGAAATCCTGAACTTAATCATCTAGCCTTATGATATATAAGCCCAGGCCGCCTAGCGCCAGGCGGGTGAATTTTAATATGCAAATTGATCTCTAATGCGCCTAGCTCCGAGGTTATCAGTTATGCTTACTGTTATACTTAGATACATTAGCCTCATGCTATGCAATTGATCTCTAATGCTCATATTTTTAATATCTTATGAAAACTAATCATATCCATGTATAACAGTAAGCATAACTGGCAATTGAGAAAAGAGATCGAAGAAGAAAATCTGTTCCTGAAGCATTTTCCCACTCTTGTTTTCAAATCCCAAGTTTTCTAAGATTGTTTCAGCAGCTCAAGGATAAAAGCTAGGGTTGGTTTGGTTGACGACAAGTTTGGTAAATGTGAACTTACCTTTGTGAAGCAATGTGAAGCTGAGAGAGGTACAGAGAGGGTCATGGACACAACAAGGCACGCCATTCAAGCTTTCAACTTCGAGTCTCTTTCTTCCTACTTCCTTTCTTGAGCTCGGTCTCAGTACCGGGCAGTAATAAACGACTCTCAGCCCGTAGCTTGAATTCTAAGCCTAAAGAAGAAGTAAGTATGGGCCTGAAGGTTCAACAATGAAGGCCTTTGATTTTTTATATTTTATTTTAATACAAGCGATATTGGTGGAGGGGATTCGTACACATGATCTTGGGTGTAGGGATACAAATATCTCACTTCGCATTGATTTTCTTACCAGTTGGTGGATTACTTGTCTTCTATTAGGGATGTATAATAGAGTATTAAACATGAAAATGCTTAATTCTTTATATCGGTAATAATTCTAGAAAAGTAAAAAATTAAAAGGGTACAATAGAAACTAAGGTAATAGGAGCCTAATAGTAATGGATAATGCTTTAAACTACTCTATTCGATAAACAAAAATCGGGGAAAAAATTTATAAAAAAAACGGATCCCATTATATATATATATATATATATATATATAAAGAGTATCGCCACTTGACTATACTATTTATTTATAAGAAATAAAAATAAAAACCAGATAGTATAATATTTTTTTAAAACAAATTTTTTTTTTAAAACGAGTATAGCTGTGCGGCTATACTATTTATGAAAAAAAAAGTTAGCCACGCAGCGCCTAATGTAAAAAATGTATAGCCGTTCGGCTATACTATTTTATAAGAAATATTAATAAAATTGAGTATAGCTGTGACGCTATACTATTTATTTTTTTTAAAAAAAGA